ATAGTTGTACAAAGAAGTTTTGTAGGCCCTAATTTTTTACACACGCTGAACGAAAGTAAAGCCCCAAAAACTATACCTAATTAATAATAATACTTCTTAAGGCGAGCGAAGCCGCGGGCAATAGCTAGTCTATTATAAAATTTTTTTCCTTTATCAGTTTGTAAATTTTTCAGAATGTTTTTTTCTTTAAAAATCGTTTGAAAAGCTTTAAAAACCGATTGGGGTTTTTTATCTTTTATCGGTACAACATAACAATACTTAGTAAATTTCTTTTCCTTTATCAGTTTGTAAATTTTTCAGAATGTTTCTTTTTTTAAAAATCGTTTGAAAAGCTTTAAAAACCGATTGGGGTTTTTTATCTTTTATCGGTACGACATAACAATACTTAGTAAAAACATCGATTACAGTTAGTAAATACATTATTCCATTATTTAATCTAGAAAATTGTTTTAATACAACTAAATCAGCGTCCAAAGTACGGTACAGAGTTGAAGAAGATGAGTATATTTTATAGTCTCCGTAAGTAACCAGAAAACCGTACATCCCCATGATTGCAGCTTAAATATAAAACTAATTCTCTTTTTTTAAAAAAATTAACTTATATAAAATACTAACCAATCACATCTTCGTTAAAAAAAAAACTAACAACCAATCATATTTTTCTTAAAGAACAAAACGTATATTATGAAGCAGATAAAAAAAACTCAGCCTATGCACCGTAGTTAGAAGACAAAAAAAACACAGCTGTCCCCAGTTAAAAGACCAGCTGCATTCCCACGACCTAGATAATAACTCTTCGAAGACAGGACAAAGAAGTAGCTGAGGATAAAAGCGGGTGAATTTTTTCCAGAACTTCAGTCATCGACCAACCTTTCTACTGAGAACTTCACTCATCAACCAACTTTTCTACCGAGAACTTCACTCATCGACTAAGAACTTAACTCATCATGTCTGACATCGGTAATTCTTATACAAATTAAATATAATCTTTACTGTATCGATATAATTCAAAAAAATTTTTTTATAAAATTTTAAAAAATTTATAAACATTTTTTTTTTTAAATTGAGTTATATACTAATTAATTTTTATACTTCAGAATGTATCAAACGCATACTACTTACGTGTTAAAGTTTTCGTTCATGTTAAAGTCCTTAACATATTCAATTTAGAAATGAATGTTTTATCTAAAATTATCAACACCGAAATTTTTATTACTTCACTTTCGTCTTAGAAAATTTTCTAAAATCATTCATAACATAAAAGTTATTCTTATTGCATAATTTCTAATGGTGTAACATTATAACAATTTATTTTTTAGAAATGTCTGCAATTTGTTTTTATTAACTCTGTACGTTTTTACTAGCATAAATAAGTTTTGAAATACAGAACTGTAGAATAATACTTGATCATCACTTTGAAATTTCAGCGGACATGTTTTAAATAGAGATTAGATTGGGTCTACTGGTATGTTTAACTATTGAGTGTCTGTTTATTGATATCATTATTTTTTCGTTTGATTATATCTACGACAGATTAGTTTTTGGCATAGTTCAGAAATTTATTCATAAACAGACGTCTAACGTTGTCGCAAGAATATTCTGCACACATAATCAATTAAATCCTAATGGGAGATTATCCATTATGATTTAATTGATGTATCCTACAAAAGTTTGTTTGCAGGTAAAATCTTAGAGATTCATGAATATGATGTTAGAGTTTCTGTTAGGAATTCATAGAATATGTTGTATCATTTCTTTACATTTCTTGCAATTTAAAAGAAAGCAATTAATAATTGAAATAATATTCTTACACAAATACGTAAATACTTTTAAAATGTTAATGTAAAATGTCATATTATTTATGCAAAACATATCGGTACCAATAACGAAATGATATTAATTTTGTCAGACGTCTTTACTAATGTCCCTGTTGGGAGAGATTCCAATTACTTCCGGTATAGTGTCCGTGAAAGGAAAGATCGCTTACGCTTCTCAAGAAGCTTGGGTGTTCAACGCAACTATCAGAGAAAACATCTTGTTTGGAGAAAAATATCAAGAAGAGAAATATAGAAAAATTTTGCATATAACGGCTCTAGAAAAGGTAAAATGATTTTTACTCTTAAAAGCTATACTTTCGATTTGTTACAGTCGATCCTCCTGTAACACTGTTGATTATTCCGTTTTATATGAATTCCATGTTGTACGAGTAACTTAGATTTTACAAATACATGAGCCGTTCACAGCCCTGCACACGTATTTGTAAAATCTAAGTGACTCGTACAACATGGAATTCATATAAAACGGAATAATCAACAGTGTTATAGGGGAGTCGACTGTACTTTGTTTCTAAATGAAAAGTGAATTGATCAAAACTAAAAAAGCAGTTTTTTAATAAAAAAGTTAAATAAGAAGTTGATTTTGTAGTCTAGAACTTTATTAAAAAGCAGTTGTAGGAGGCATGACATAAAATTAATTACTATCAGCCAAAATAGTAGTTTTGAATACAAAAGACACAAATTTATCTATCAAAACACTGTTTATAAGTTAAACACTTTTAGAAATCAATAGTTATGTTTAATTTTAGTAAAGTTATCAATGCACATTACATTGAAAATAATTATCTTGTATGTTTATTTTACTATTTTTAGGATATTAGCTTGTTTCCTAAAGGAGATCTGACAATCGTAGGAGAGAAAGGAGTGATAATGAGCGGTGGGCAGAAGGCAAGAATTAATTTAGCAAGGTAAAACAAGTCTTACCTAAAATTATATTTCTATGTGTGAAATTATAAAAGTATAATTTTGTTAGGAATAAGACAAATATACCGCAATAATAAATACATTTTAATGAAATTCAAATATTGTTTATAAGTATACTGGTTTTGATTATATTCATTACATCCTGAAAAAAAAAAATCTCCGGAAACCTATATCGTATCACTTTTCACTGATATTTTCTAAATTCCCCGTGGTGTATTTGTTAAAAGTAAAACAAATAAAATGTTTATCTCTTTTCGGATAAACCATTTTACACTGGTTATTTTTGACCTGGTAGTAGGGGCATCGTGTGCTGGGGTTTTATACTTTATTTAACGCCCTTTCTTTTACTTCGTAATATAAAACACGAAAAAAACTATTAAACGATAGAAGAAGAATGATTGTATTCATTTTTTGATAATGATACATGTTTATATTTTCCAGAGCGCTATATGTGGATGCCGATATTTTCCTCCTAGATGATCCACTAAGTGCTGTTGATGTTCCAGTGGCAAAACATATCTTCGAAAAGTAATTATTTAAATAATACTTTTTGAACATTTCAATACATTTTAACTGTCAATCTATTTCAGGTGTATAATGGAATATTTGAAAGACAAGATATGCATTCTCGTTACGCATCAAATACAATTTTTGAACCCTGCGTGTAAAATTTTAGCGTTAAAGAAGGTGAATACGTTAATTGTTTATTAGTTTTGTTTTGTAAATTATTTTTACGGTAATAACAACATTCTTACTCTATTTTAACAACGCATGAATTTTAACACGAAAGTTCAGAATAATCAACACAAAATGTCACGAAGTACATTGAACTGATTAAATAACCAACCACAAAAAAATAATATATAATAATTACACAATAGTATACTGTATACTATATGGACAATGTATCGGCTATGTACCATAAAAATTTTTCGGTGGCTGTTTTCAGGAGAATGACAGATATTCCAGCGTAGATACTGCATCAAATCAGTTCTGAGTGAAGCAAAAATCTTTGACAAAACACTGGTGTTCACTAATTTATACCCACTGTACAGTGTTGAGTTGAAAACAGTTACATTGTCTTTCTTTCTGTGTACAGAAGTAAATACAAAATAGGGATTGCATTACCAGTTCAAAAACGAGAACATACCAGTAATAAGATTATACCGAGGATGTGGCCGATGTTTTCATCTCTAAAACGTGAACGGCGAACTTCGAGCGCTGATTACAACATCGACGTTCGACGTTCACGTTTTAGAGATAATTGTTATTGATAAATTAAATAAAAATTGGTAAGCAATAATAACATTTCGGAACTAAATTTGTGGCATTTTCAGGTATACAATATTTTTATATATAACTTAAAAAACATAGAGGAAATTGTATTTATATACCAAATTAATATATTTTAGGGTAAATGTGAATTTATTGGAAATTTTAAACAATTGGAAAGTTTAGAAACGCATACAGGAATATTACGAAAGGAAGAAGTCTCTGAAAACAGCATTGATTTAGAGAGTGCGGTTTTTAATAATGATGATGATAGAATTGGAAGTTTTCAATGTGAAATGAATAATGATATTGAAGACAGAAACAAGAGTAATGAGGTAAGAATTACTTATTAAGTAGTTATGTAACTGATGTTTATCAGTTTTTATTTCTCGGATTGATTTCTCCAAGATTTGTACATGATGAACTTTTAATTATAAGAAAATATAATGCGATTATAGGAATAAATTGCTATTATAAATTTATTTGTTGAAATTTATCAATATCAACTTTACGATATATATTAATACTAGCTGCAAGATCCTGCTTTGCTGGGTTTTTATTTGTATGTAATAGTATAGTTTTATATATATATATAAAAGACTGTTTTTCAAAGTAATCTTGAATCTAGCTGCAAGGACCCGCTTCGCTGGACAAAAAGTAACGATAGTGAAGATTAAAATAATTACATTATAGCCAATCTTACCCGTTTTCACAAAATGCAAGAATTAGGTCCCCCGTTTCCAGACTAATTAGAGAATTTTTACGTTTAGTCAAACGAACAAATTTCAACGTTTCTGGAACGTTTTCAATCGTTCTATAATCGAACCAATTCGAATTTTATGTTCAAATTTAATTCGAACAAATTCGAAAAAATCGAACAAAACATTCGAAATAGAAAGCCACTTTCAACCACTTTCAGCCTCATATCTCCCGCACCCTTATAGCTATCGAGACGCAACCAC